TTTGACAGTAAGAATTATTTTTTCTACACAGTTATAGAATATTTGTATGCTGTGATTTTAAACCAATGTGCAAGTCAAATTACTTTTTTTTTTTTTTTTTTTTTTTTTTTTTTTTTTTTTTTGGTACTGGGGATCAAACTCAGGACCTTGAGCTTGCGAGGCAGGCATGGTGCCACTGAGCCAAATCCCCTGGACCCTCAAATTTTACTTTTAATTAGTAAAAGCTTCATGAGTCTTAGCTATATTAGACATGTTGAGAAGCTAAGATACAACAGTGGGAAAGAGAATGCGTTCAACCTTTAAGTGGTCAGAGTGTATGAGGTAGGCACAGAGGAAGTTAAGATGGTAAAGGGTAGTGGCCACAGTGCAATTTTCTAGCTCATCTGAGGTTAGAGGTTGAAAGTGGTTTGTGGATGAAGTGTTAAGACGTTGGGAAGTTCAAGTAGAAGAGATGTGAGGGAAACGTGGAAGGATCACTAAAGGCTAACCTAGCATGGGGTCTCTCAACAATGGGCATCTGGGCCAGCGTTCTTTGTTGTACATTGTTGGATGGTTAGCAGCATCCCAGGCCTCTCTTCATTATATCCCAGTAACTCCCTTCACTTACCCATCCTGACAACCTGATGCATCTTCAGATATTGCCAAATATCTCCTGGTGGGGGTAAGGAATGCAAAGTGTCCCTATGTGAGAATCAGTGGTTTAGAGAAACACGGAGTAGATCAGGAACAGGACACAATGTGTGTGAAGATACAGGACATGAAATAAGTGGGGTGATACTAATATGTCTATGGCTGATAAGAAAAGTAGGTAATATTTATTATTCCCTGTTACATATAAGACATTAGGCTGAGTTCACTGTCTGAGACATCTCATTTATCTTTGCAACAACCTTAGGCATTACTACTATTAAAACTCTCTGGAGGGTAATGAGACGCAAAAAGGCAAAGTAACATGCTTAGTTATAAGTGAGTGGACCAATATCCAATCCCTGGCGAAGGAGGCTCAGACTTCAAAGCCACGTACTTTTCAGAACACTGAACGGACAAAGGCTTTTCTGGTCTGGAATAAAGAGTGTACGCAGGGATTGTAAGAGATATGGGGATGAAAGACAAAGGCCCTTCAGTACCTACAGATTTACTACTAACTGAAATACGAGAACAATGGGGAATTTCAGAGATAGCTTTTGAGAGACAGAGAGAGGAGAGAGAGAGAGAGGACAGAGTCTTGGAAAAGTACTACAATAGCCCAGCGGAGAAATGTCAAGGCCTCAGCTGGGACAGTAGAAGGAGGAAGAAGGAGAACTGTTTGCATGATAATCTGGTGACCAACTATCCTGGTGACTGATTGGATGAAGGAGCTGATCGTCTTTACGGGACTCGTGAAGGGGTCCCAAGTGGGCCTCTGTGGGAATGACCTGTATCCCTTTCCTTTCCCTTTTCTTTCCCCCTTTCCCGTTCTCAGGCTTCGTGCCTGATTGTACTGAAGCCACTAGCAGCAGTGCCCCCCAGCATTCTGCTTTACTCATTCAGAAAACTTTCTCAAAGTGGCTGGTAGCTCATAACCAATGACATGAATTTACATGCATTTATTATAGGCCAGGCATGATGCTCAATGCTCTATATACATCATCACATTAATTCTTCACAACAACACCTTATAAAAGCCTTGTTGCCCCACTTCCCAATACACCAAGGAGGCTCACACTACTCAGCTGACCCAGGGTTTGAATCTAGAGTTTTTGACTTCAAAACCTTTCCACTAACAAAATTGCCATTTTTTATTCATTTGAAATATAAGATAGAAACAGAATACCAGGAACGCTCAGAACCAGAAAGCCAAATAGAAGAAGCAGCTAGGAAAACAGAAGTTAATGTATGAACAAGTTTGGGTTGCACACGCATACTACACACATGTTCTTGCCGAAACAATGGGAATACATGTGACAAGAGGAAGGCGAAACGTGCCTGTGATTCTCAGAGAGACACATGCACGGAAGTCACAAGTTCGAGTCCTGACTGGGCAACAGAGCGACTTAGCAAGACCCTGTCTCAAAATTAAAAAGAACTGAGGATGGACCTTAGTGGTAGAAACCGCAGGTGTCATCGCAAGTACAAAAAAGAAAAGTGTAATTATGTCGACAAGATTTTTCTATTTATCTATTTATTTATTTATTTTTGTCTCCGGCAAGATTCTTTTTAGAGGAGACCCTAAAGAGCCCCCTAAAGAATGTGAGAAGCACAGCAAAGTACCACATTGACGGCACAAGCACTGTGTACAGGAGAGATGACACAAACAAGGGACAGGAAAGGCACGATGCCCCCTGGGGACTGGGGATGGTGAGGCGCTGGGTTACCACCTTGGGCTGATTGGGAGAAATAATGAACGAGGCACCCAGGCTTACAAGGCTGAGCGGCTGGAGCAGGCAGTGCGGAAGGGCATTCGGTACTGGAGAGTGAAGAAGGGATCTGCTCTGCTAGGTGCTGGGTAGCAAAGTGTTTAATATGAGCTCAGATTTCTGTGCTGCACTTTTTAAAACTTCCTCTCACCTACGGGGCTGTCTATGCTTTATCTTGCCTCTGGGTCTGTTTTCTCTCTGTCTTTGACATTTTTCAGTTCTCCCTAATATGTTTAGCTGACTTTTTCCAGTAAAGAATTAAGCATTAGCCAAATTGCCCCTAGAACGCGCCAGCTTCGGCTGCTCTTCCCCTTTCCTTCGCATTCCCACCCTCCGTGCCTGTATCTCGCTGCTTATGTCTCCAGCATTAGTTCTCCTCTGCCCTTGTTCAACTCCTTTCCCTTTCCTGCAGGCACCGATTCTCCTTTTCCTTCGCGTCTATTTCCTGCTCTCTAAGGAGGGCTTTCATCTCTCCGGCCGTTGCTCACAGAACAGAAGCCAATAGCTACTTTTTTTAAGTCTTGCCTTCTACAACTGTGGGAATAATAAATCAGGACGTAAAGAAAGTTAGAATTAATCCTAAACAAGAAATGGTCAAAATAGCCACGCACAGGCTAGGAACCTTCTTGTCTGTTCCCACAGTCGGTAGGATGGTAGTTCTCAACCTTTACTGACCTTCGGAATCCTTCAGTGGGTTGGCTCACTTATTAAAGTGCTGACTGCTGAGCCCAAAACCCAGAATTTCTAATTTAGCAAGCCTGGGAGTGACCTGGGAATGTGCATTTCTAGAAAGTTCTCAGGAAATACTGAAGTTGCTGGTCCAGAAGCTGCACTTTGAGAACCAGTGGAGTGGGGAAACAAAAAGCTGTGCGGAAGCTCAGGGAACTCTGTACAAGACAGCAGTAGGGAAGCAATGCAAGGCAGGGGGATTGTTCCTGACCACTGGACGAAGGGACTGCAGCGGCCTGGGATACTGAATATCAGACCCAGCGGATACGCCGCAAGCTGCAGGGAGGAGGGGAGGGCACTTAGGGAAAGCTTTGGTTCTGTATCATAACCTTCTGGGAAACACGGAAGCCGGCTCCAAGCCCTGTCATCTACCCTCCAGCTTGCAAAGCAGCAGAAGGGAATTCTCAGGATCCCTTTGATCTCTTCCCAGATCCCCGAGTCCTCTGACTGTTTATCTCCCTCCTTCCCCGGCCTCCTCTCCCCCTTTTTCACCCCCTGCCCAGTGGATGATTCACTCCCCTCCTCTCCTGCCTCCCCACCCTACTGCCATCTGTTTTTCTAATGAAGGCAGAAGATGAGCTGGTTTGTTGGCCCACACAATAACAAAGCACACTCCACGCTAGCATTTTTCCTGATGCACTCTCAGAAGACTATTTTATGGGTATCATTTCCCCACCCAGTTTTCTCTTTCCTCTCAAACTCCACACTTTCTCCTTCTCTGGCCTCATGTGGATCCGTTTCCCAGAATTAAGTCAACAGACACAGAAACGCAGAAGAATAAAGGGATTAACGTGTATGTGGGCTGGATGTATTTGGGGGAGGACTTGGAAATGAATGGTAGTTAAACTGCTCTCTCTAGCACACCAGATGGAGCCAGAACTTTCTGGCATTGTTACTAAGCGGTTTATTTACTTGTAGAGGGAAGTTTGGACTTTGAAACCTATTGTGACTGAGTGTAGGAGACTTGTATTTGTCCCTGGCTATTCCTTGGGTAGGAAGCTTAAGTGGGGCGTGAGAGTCTCCTTCTGTACATCAGGACTCCTGTGTGTAAGGCTCTGCTTCCTTCTAGCCTCATCTTGGTGAGGTTAGCTCCAGTTGACCCAGCTGAGGAATTTCCAGCACCTTGAGTTCCACACTGGTAGAGCAACACATTGTGCAAAGAAGCAGACGGGATCTCTTGAAGTCAAAAAGTTCTGGTTTGGTTACTCAATCGTGGACTCCAGGTCTCCCAGGGTGGTTACATACATTGAGGGCCCTGTGGCCCAGGAAGTGACTGGGATTGAAGGAAGGCCCTCAAGCGAGTGACCGTGGAGGAGGATGAGGATCGTTCTGAAGGCAGTGATCCAACTGCTAGAGCTGGAGCTGCTGCTCAGTTCCAGATGGGCATGGCCATCCCTGCTAGGCAGTCTTGTTTGAGAAGAGAAAAATCTCTGCACAAAGAATTTTTGGTACTTATTTTTATTTGGGGTATGTGTGTATATGTATAATGTTATATGCACATAGGAATTTTATGTGGAAATCTCAACACTGAAACTTTCGTAACTAAAACAAAACTGTTTTTCGATGACGTGATGGCCCAACAAATCTTACATGGGCCCCTGCTCTGCAAAACACTAATCTCAAACTATAATTAATTCTGACTTGCTTTTTAACTTATTTTTTATTAAGTCACTTAAAGCGGAACGCTGAAGGTTTTGCTAAGACACAACCAAAGTCAGAAGTCCTAATTTCTATAAACTTGAGTTCGTGAAGGCAGCTACTTCTAAGAAACCAAAGAAAAAACGAGGGGATATATGGAATCTTGAAGAGAGAGAGTCGGACTCAAGCAGCCTACAGCTCTCTAGGCTGGGTTTGGGGAAAAAGAGGTCAGCTTACCTCACAGGACTGGATGCAGTGGATCAGGAGGGGGTCTGGATGCCACTGACGCCGGCCGGTACACACGATGCTCTGAAGGGGAAGACAACAAAACTCAGATATCAAACACGGAGGGAGGTATTGTTCTGCGAGAGAAGACGTGAGTTCTAAACTTATTCCACCAGTTCCACTCTGTTCCTCTGGAGCAAGACCCTGGCCTCATGCCCTAGGACCAGGCTTCCTGGACTTTCCTGTGCAAACCTCTAATGCTAAGGGAAGGTGCCAAAGCAAAAACTCTCAGCTGGGAGAATCGTCTGCCTCCCCACGTCCTTTCCTCTCTAAGATATTAAAACTTCCAGAGTTCTGCTGGTGTCATTTAAAAAAACCATCTTCAGGATCATAATGAATTTGTTCTTAGGAATAATATTGATTGAATTATTTTGAAATGTTTAGTGATATAAAAATTATGTGATACTTATGTTGATTAAGAAGTATTATGGGGGTTTACAGGCTAACAAATACAGCTGCATGAGAAGAATCCTTAACTAAAACTGGGTGCAACAGTTTGAATTTGATTTGAATGCTTCCCCCACAGGGTCATGTGCTGGAGGCTTAGTCCCCAGTGTTGAAGAAAAAGAAACTTTAAGAGATGGAGCTGTTGGAAGGTGATTACGTCACTGGGGACAGTACCTTCACCAAGGACTAATGTCATTCTGACTCTGGTTAGTTCTCATAAAAACAGCAACCCTGGCTCCTGAATCTCTCTGGTTCTTGTCTCTCCTGCTCGGCATGCTCATTGCCACAGTGCTGACTGCTGTTCTGTAATCCAACCAGAGGCCTCACCAGAACACTGGCACTGTGGTGTTTGGATCCTCTGGCTACCAGAATCATGAGCCAGATAACCTCTTTAGTTTATAAAGTACTCAGCCTCAGATGTTTTGTTAGAGTAGCCCAAGGTAAGAAAGCAGGCCAAATTACACTCTCTGCAATTCCGCATAGCACCGCCAAACCCTTTGACTCAGGAAAATAGTGTCCACACAATGGATAAATCAGCTTGATGTGAAATTACTAGAGTACCAGTGCCACCAACGTTAAGCTGGTGGAACGGAAACACTTTCATGTTGAAATACCAGTGACTATCTCACTCCCAAAGGCCATTTCCAGATGCACACTCAAATGGATAGTCATCTACTCTTTGCTAAGTCATAATCTTCTCTTCAACAAACTTTTTTCTTTTAATAGTTGTATTTCATATTTCAAAGGATACACTGCAGGAAAACCGAAATTTCTATAGCAGGTTTCAGAGAGAAAAGATTCTCTCCACAGCCTGCTACTGACTTACTATGTGCAGACTTTCATTCTCATATTTTAATTCAGAATAATTAAAATTCAATATAATTGGAAGAACAATAATATATGATAAAGTATGAACTTTACACAGTATAGCACCTCAAGTAATTGGAAATTATACATTCTAGAAGGCTAAACTGTTCAATAATCAAATTGGACATATTTAAACATATTAATATGTAGGTATATGAATATATACCTCAGGATCAGTTATGAGAATGAGAATGCGCAGTGTTTTTCTGGAGTTAGACTAGTAAAACCTAAAACTCTTCTTTCACAGCTTCCCTAAAAGGAAAATAGATAAAATAAAATTTCACAAAATCTGATACTCAAAACTCCATATTATAATATATTGTTAGAAGGGGACCTGTCTTAAGGTACCACTGCAATAAAAAAGGGATTATCAAATAAAGCATAAATATAACAGAAGCGTTTAGCTTATGAAAATACGTGAGCTATTTTCCTGCATGTAAAGTCATTTCCTTAGAACTATTTGCATATAAACAATAACTTTCCTAAATAGAAATGATCCTTATTTATTACTACAAAGCAGATCCCACTGGAATTCTAGTTAGCATTGGTCATGACATATATCATCTAAAATATGTGCTTTTATGCTTGCTTGCTGACCCTAAATAGGAGTAATGGCAAAATACAGTGAGTAAATTGTCCCCTTGAGAGGCAAATGCATGGCACCATTATTCTTTCTCATGCCATTTCATTCATTAAGGTACCCACCCTCTCAGTCATTCAATTCAGACCAGTATACAACCCTCACTCTGGACTACATTTCTCAGTGGGCAAGAGGATCTGAAATCCCTAAACCTAGTGATGCCCACACAAAGCTCAAAATCTTTGGAGGAACGTACTAGGAAAATGCCAATGCCTCCCCCAAAAGAGAAACTTAGCCTTGGCAAAATCCACAATGCTGACAGCTAGAACTTGCTAGCATATCCTAAACTCATTGGGTCAGCTTCTCTTATGCCCTCCCAGCCCTCTACCCATCCACACATTTAATAAATCTGAAACTTTTTGTCTTCTAACACTCCAGAAGTTCTACAATATACTCTGATAAGAAAAAGAAGAAAAAATGCTTTTATTTTTGATCTTCCAATGCTAGTTTCTTCTATTATTTCCACTTTTGTATGTCTTTGCATTTTATCTAATTTTATTTGAAGGAAGTCCATGTTCAAAGAATAAAGTATATGAGGCACAAAAGCATTCATAGTTTCTCTTTACTTTTGTTCCCAATCACCCTTTTTCATTTATTTTATTTCTAGTTCATTTCTGAACCGTATAACACACATACACACACACACACACACACACATACACACACACACACACACACACACA